TTGGTTCTATGGTTATGGGGTCAATGTATCTTTAGTAAGCCTCGTTAGGTTACAAGTGACATTTATTTCTCTAATGGATATTCTCAGAGTATTTTCTATACTGGCGATCAGTTCGCTATTTCGCAATGATTCGGGGTTCAAAGATTCACAAGTCCAACTCGGCGCGTCATATTCAGGTGTTCTTTCGCAAAGATTTCCCTGTTAACGTATTCTCAAATTTAGGTTCGGCTCGAGAGAAATTTCTTTAAAGAAAGTCTCTGAATGTGTGAGTTTTCTCGAATAAATATGGTGAAAAAGTGTGTTGAAAGTGCAGTTTTTACGCACTAAAAAATTCCTAACTTGAAGCCTGTTGCTCGTTTTGAACCTGTTCTGGTAGACAAAATCCCGTCTTGACGTCATATACATATTCATTTCTCACGGATGGAAGTCAATTTTGATCAGAAGGTCTTCAAAAATGCGGATTTATCAAGTATTTCCGTACAGAAAATTTGTGACAGAAGTTTATCTGTGTCATGTTCAGAAAATCATAACATGGTCGATTTTTATCATATCAAGCTGCTTCCAGCGTCAAAATTTCAAAAATTAAGTTGGATACATTTTCACAAGAGGTCCCAAGTTCGAATGGTATCCAAAAGGTCTGCGTTTTCGCCCTGAGTGCGCGTGACGCGCCGAAAATCCTCAATGCTGAATATTATTTCATTTGGGTCGAAACTTCAAACATTCATAACTCGGTCAATTTTTATCGGATCGGGCCCATCTTTTTACACAAGGTCACTGACTCAGAGATCTATAACTTTTCTTCCAAAGTCAAGACCAGGATCTTCTCCGATCAATACTAGTTTTCTAATGAAGAACATGTCAAAGTTGACACTAGAGCCCAAAATTAAGTTGTTTGAGGCGAAACTTCAAAATTTCATAATTATTTACTATTTATCCCATTGAGCCCATTTTCGGACAGGAGTTTGTTCTCAATGTCAGCTACATTTTGTTTTTCACATTTCAACTTCAAAAATCACACTGAGGTCCCTGCGAATTTGCTTGGAACGTGTCAAACTCAAGTGAATAAAAATCTGCACTATTGCTTGTGGTTATTGGAGGCCCAATTGCACATCCAAAACCCATATCTTTGCCCTAATTTCCACTATATAACCTCATGCTTTTCATATAAACAGACACGGAAAAAAAAACCTTGCCACAAATTTGTCAAAATATCAAATTCTTTCAAGAACCCTAGAAATCTTGAAATCCTTGTTACAAACCCTTGTATCTACAAGCCATCTCATTCACTTCCACGAACTCAGTAGGGTAAGGTTTATTCTATCTCCATGATCAAAAGGGCGTAGAAGCATTCATACATGCCATATCGATTTTAAAGTTACAAAACTTCATATATTTATTTTCTTTGTATTTCATGGTATACTAATTTGTTTAATGTGTTCATGAGATTCAACACTACAGGTTTGGACCATCGTAATGGTCACATGCAGGTTTATTACAAAACATGCAGAGGCCAAAGTAAAACACCAACCAATGCATGGTTGAACCTATGCCCTATTGGTTTTGGTTTTATTCTATTATATTTATCCTTTTACCTATTTTCCTTCTTTTTGTTTAAATTTTTTTTTCATAAAACCTAACATTTTTCACAAGTCTTTGATTTTTCATAATAAACTCAAATAATTAATTTTAGGTTTTAATTTAATTTTTGGTTCGACATCCACCCCTGACATTTTATTATTTGTTTTTGGTTTCTAACCAATTTGTCTTTTCCAACCCTAAATTCACCTAACCATAAAATCAGAAACTTTTTTACAAGCTTAAAATATTTTTTTTTTAAAAATTAATTAGTTTTTAGGTTTTTCATCATCAACCTTTTTTAATTAATTTAATTAATCAATTATTTTGTTAATTAAAATTAATTAGTTTTTAGGTTTTTCATCATCAACCTTTTTTAATTAATTTTGTTAATTAAAAATTAATTAGTTTTTAGATTTATTTCAATCATCATTAGAAAAAACCTTTTCCATAAAAAAAAATCATCAAACAATTTCTCCTTTTCACTTTTTCGTGCACTTTATTATTTTCTATTATTTTTTCCTATTATGTAATTGTTACGGAATTTAATAGTTTAAATTAGGATTTTTTTTTCTTTCTTTTCCCAAGTTTTTATGGTTTGTATCCCCCTTCCTGAAGCCTTGTAATTGTTTAGGTTTCGAATTCAATACATTATTCACACACTTGCAACTCTATGGTGACCTCTCTTGTTGCCTCGGAAAAACAATGGTCATGTCCCTCAAACGTAGGGATACCATTAGCAAAGTCCCTTAGTCATAAATTATCACAAAGATCTTGTCCCTCGATGTTTCCTGACAGTCCCTTCAAAATTGCTAAAGGTATCCCTACATGTTTCTTTCAATGACTATAACGACGACCCTACGCCTGTCCCTCACACATATAATGATAGGGCTTCCTACTAACTAATGGTAGGATAACACTATCTAAAGGAAGAAGAAAATAACGCGAAAGACTTTTGAGTAAGGGTCGAATATTGTTAGTCGCTTGCTCACACAAAACATCTTTTTCACACCTCGCACTTTCAAAAATATTTTCAAAACGATTTCTCAACACTCTTGAGGACTGATAAAAAAGTTATCATACATATACTTGTAATCAGTTAGAAGAACTCGGAGTCTAAGATGGTAACAAGAGAGAACTAAGTGAAATATGTACAACCTACTAGTGACTAATTCCCCACGACGTCTTATTCCTGTTATCCTAGTAGTAATTGAGCAGGGTAAGCTTCTTTTCATCCTTGTTCTCTGTTTCGTGGTCAAAGTTCAGAGCTGTAGAAATCTTTCCTCCTGTTCATAGGGAAGATCTTTGTGTGCTGGTATCAGAAAGAAAATATCGAGCTTGAGAGCTCTCCTATTTGAATGCAAGGATCGATCCAAGCAATTAAGAGATCGTAGATAACTACGAATGAAAATGGCGTTAACACCTTCCCTTTTCATAACCTACCCCGTATTCAAAAAATTCTCAAAAGTATTTCCTGTTCTTTTCACCCTTTTCTTATTAGATAAAAGAAAAGTCGGTGGCGACTCTTTCTATCCGTGACATTTGCGATAAAATGTAAAATAAACCAGTAAAGTCAGTTCTCCCACCGAATGACACAGGGTAACAATATGGTGAAATTATGAAAAATATTCTTAGTAGGTAGGTTCCTAGTTTCTTCCTACAAATATTATACCCTCCTCAAAAGAGTGGTTTCCTTAAGGGTATTATGGATAACACCAAAGGAAAAAAACACAAGGGTCTCCCTTAGGTGGACCTTCTTTGTAGACCTAGACTTTCATCTCTTAGGTCATTCAACATCTGACCATGAGATTTTTTTTGGTTATACAAAGAGTCATTGGCCAAGTCCTAAAGTTCTACCTCCAATAAATTCTAGCCCTCTAAAGGATATTCCTTGGAACTCAACCGACTCTAGGTGAAGTCGTTGCAAAAAACTCATAGGGATGTTAAACCCCCTTGGCCAATTGACATTCCCCACTCTCTCTCTCACTCTTCCTCCCTCTCTTCCACCACTCCCTCTCCCACATCTCTCTCACACTTCTTCCTCTCCCACATCTCTCTCTCTCTCTCTCTCTCTCTCTCTCTCTCTCTCTCTCTCTCTCTCTCTCTCTCTCTCTCTCTCTCTCTCTCTCTCTCTCTCTCTCTCTCTTCTAGAATCTTTGTGATTATAATTCCAGATGACAAGCATACTCCTTCTTTCTTGTTTTCTATCATGTACTCAATTACTTTTTTTCCAGTTTACCTTAATTTTGTTTTTTATTAACCATACCACTTCTACATCAACTTGCATTATGAGGCTGAAATTACTTTTTGTTGGGAAAAGTATGTGATTGATCAAATTATGAATCACACAAATTTAAGGGTAGATAGATATATAGCTTTGAGGGGATTTTTTTTATGTAGGGTGATGGATCCTTCATAATGGAGGATGCACCGGACTCGTAATTGTATATTTAGGTTCGACGATAGTATCTTAACATGAGAGTTTTCTAATCTATTGGAATTCTTATAATAATAGAGTTATCATGTGCCTTTTACTTAATTTTGAAGTATTCCATCCGTGAGCTAAAGATTTGGAAATAATGAAATGTGTATTTTATTATAAACTTATAATTTCATTATTTATGCATCGTAAAAAACAAAATATTTTCACAATGCCCTTATGTTGTTTAAGAACTTTAAGTTTCAACGGTTTTGTATCTCAAGTATTGAGTTAGACAAGGATATATTTTCTAATTGTATCTTGATTGATATGTTGTTGAAGATAAAAAAAGATTTAAGAAGAGAATGATATTGTAGATAAGATTACAAGTAATGTTTAAGAAAACAATAAATAAATATTTTCTGCAGACAAGGGAGATCTAATAAGGCATTGAAGTTGAAGGTGAGATAGGGAAACAAGACAAAAATTGATTAGTACATGCAAACATATTATAATCGAGGGACCGAGTATGGTTAGCAATTTTTTGGGTGTTGAAAACTATTTAGAATACCCAAACACTTTGGAGCGGGTGATGGGTCGAATACATGGAAGATGTAGTATAAAACTTTTGGAGTGTGTGTGTATTATTGAAACACAAATAGTGTTGATCTAACAAAAAAAAAGACACTCTAGTTTTGATATATTAATCTAAAAATTAAGTCATGGTTTCCCTTATTTACTAAGATAGATTTTTATAATGATGCTACAAGGCATTTGAAATCTATATAAAGATGATAGTTTACGTAAAGTACACCAAAGACTGACCATAGGTTGACACATTTCATAAACACAAATCCATAGTTCTAACTAATTTAGAGCTAGTTTTATTTAGAATAAATAATAATATTGCAGATACATAAGATATGATATATTCACATCATATTTATTCTCAGATGTCACTTTAGAAGAAGTCCAAACATAAGATTCTAATCAAAGTGCAAATCTACTAAACGACACAAGGATGGCCACCAGACTCACTCATATCAGGTACCCAAGCAATAGCCTTATTGCCGATGAAATGACAAACAGGGACAGTTCCTGGCTTAACATTGAGAACTTCATGTAACACATTAGGATTCATACCTCTAGTGTCATGGTGGCAAATAGTAAGTGCTTTTGATTTAGTTCCATCAGAGGCCGTCAATGGGACCATGTAAGTTGTTGAAGCATTTACTGCATGGCAATAAAATACAACTTTTTTAAAATTCAATCTATGGCACATTACTACTTTGTCTCCAATTTTATTAACTTCCTCCACTTCATATTTGTCCTGATTTTGAACTAAGGAACTTGACATCACTTTGATATTCTTTCCAAGCTTTGAAATGGCAAAATCCATCATTGATTCTAGTGATAAAGCACAATGTTTTTCTTCCCCTATTGCTGACGGGGTTCTACAATAGTTATCGATAATGTGAGCTTCTTTTTCATCAGATGTGTATGCTACAGAATGTTGATTTTCTTTTTGTGTATCTCTTGCAAAAGGTTGATTTTCTTTTGTAGTTTCTTTTTTAGACCATATCCAAAATCCAAACGGTTGACTTTCTTTTATAGTTTCTTTTTTAGCCCATATCCAAAATCCAAAAGGTTGATTTTCTTTCGTAGTTTCTTTTTTAGACCATGCCCAAAATCCAAAAGGTTGATTTTCTGTTGTAGTTTCTTTTTTAAACCATATGCACAATCCAAAAGGTTGATTTTCTTTTTCTGGTGTTTCTTCAAACCATTTGTGAGTCCTCAAAGTCTGACACGTTTTTCTGATCGGTAGATATGTTGATGATTTTGATGATTGGATATCTGAATGTTTCTGAATGCCTAAGTTCATTGTTTTCCCAGGATATAGATCATGTTCAAAAAAGATAGTCCAATATTGATTCTCTTCTTGAATTTTGATAGGCATATCGGTTCCTATATTTGCAACATCAAATATTAAATCAAATAAACACATAATGGTGATACATAGTCGTGATATATGTTAATATAAAGTAATGAATATAAAATTATATAATAATAGTTCATATCAATGTAACATATATAACTAGTGAAAGATTTAATTACGTAAGTGAAATTGATCTTTAATTATGTTATTTCGTTTTAATCTTTATAAAACTTATTTTTATTGAAATTAATCTATGTGATACGAAGAATATTTAATTTTAGTTTCATTTAAAATAAACAAAAATTAATATATTTCAAGAAATATATATTACATTAACTAAAACGAAAAAGTGATATTTAAAAGATCTTATTTATGTTTTTACTAACCAGACAATAAGAGATCCGAAAGTGCCTTAGGTATAGGAGTGTTTGGCCAAACAGATTTCCAATATTCTTCTCCTGAGTTAGATCCATGAATTCCCACCAGAACCAACTGCAAATATAGACATATAACAACAATTCATTTAAAGTGTTAATAATAAATATTGGATTGTTTTTCCTTTAAACTTTCCAATTCGCATAAAATATTGATAGAAAGTTGATGAAGCAAAGCAGAAAATAGCTTACCAAAAAGAGAGCTAAAACAGATAGATTTTTAAACTCCATTTAAGCTGTGTAGTATTGATAGAAACTTAGTGAGTGTGTGAGAATGAACGAAATACTGCTGCAATATATATAGTGAATTCAATGCTCATCCTCAATGAATAAGTTCAATTGATAAAACAATTTATTAAATTTATAATAAATATTGATGAGCCCTAGGTTGTTTCTGAGTAATTGATCTATTAAATTAACTATAAATATTGCTCAGTACTAGGCTGTCTTTGAGTAACTAAATTCACAATAAATTTTGCTCAGTAATAGGTTATCTTTGAGAAACTAAATTCACAATAAATATTGCTCAGTCCTAACTTGTCTTTTCATGATCACAAGATTATCTTGAGGAATTGACCGATTAAATTCCCAATAAAAATTGGTTGCTAGTAGCTTTTATTTGGATAACTAAATTTACAATAAATATTGGTGAACAGTTGATATAGTTGAGACTGAGATTCTTTTTTTTTTAGAACTAACTAGTAAGAAATCCGTACTGTCGTATGGATCTCGTAGGGATTTATATTATACATATTAAAGAATAAATTGTTAAGTATAACATCATATTTTCAGTTAGATAAAATTAATATAATTATAATTTATAATTATTTATCAAATTTTAATTCATGTGTTTGAAATATCAAACATAATATAATGTATTTTGCAATTCTCAAATATTCATTCAATTATATACTAATAATATGTATCCATTTTTAACCATTGATTCGTATTTATAATAAATCGTACAACTATTTTTATAACTTCAATTATATAAAATAATAATAAAAGAAATAGTTAAAAGATACACATTAAAATGATCAGTCAATATTTGTTATCTCATAGATACGTTCACATCTATCATCTACTCGTGAATTCACATGAGTTAACAAACCCTAATTGAATTTAAGAATCCAATGAGTTAATTCTAAAAATTTATTAAACTTATTTTAGATATTAGCCAATTTTTTCAAACCTAAAATGTATGACAGCTTCCAAAATCTAAAATATATGACAGTAATCCGTCAAAATTTAATAAATTATCTAAATATGCTCATGTAAAATTCAGTATGAAGATTAAAATCAAACCTAAAACCTAATCTTCAATAACAATCTTAAAAAAAATCATATATAAATTTATTGTAAAATTTTATAAATAATAATATAAGTTAAAAAAAATCATCAATTTTCTATTAAAAACGTGAGAGCGGACCAAAACTTTTTAAATTTAAAATAGAGAGACTATTCTTGTGAATCAAATAAAATTGAAGATTAAAATTGAAAAAATAAATAAATAAAATAATTAAGTAGTCATATACCCATGAATCAAATAAATTGAAGATTAAAATAGTTGTTTTATTACCATAATTGAAATATGAAATTCCATTTTTATGACTGTATAATGAAAATTCAAATGATTGCTCTTGTCTATTATTGTCCGTTTATCAAATAGATAAAATATATTTTTATAAAGAGAAAAAATTTATTTTTGATGCAGTGATAAAATTTAATGTTATTGGTACTAATTAAATAAAATGATAATACATAATTGTATAAATATAAAAAGAATGATAAATTTATTTTTTTCATAACAAATTTTTGTATTTTTCTATCATAATTGTTTCATGTTCTTTTATCAAAAACAAATAGTTATAACATTTTTTACTATAAATGATAACGTTTATCATAAAAAAAAATACTAACAATTTTTTATAAATTGAAATTTTAATAAAATTTATTATATTTTAATAATAGTTTTAATTATAGTTAACATATTATTTAAAATTTTAAAATTTTTTAAAAATAAATTTAATAACAACAATCACGTAAATTTTGATTACTTAAAGTAAAATCATATTTAAAAAATTAAATTTTTGAATATTAAAAGTAAATCGTGTTTAATATTTAATAATATTTATTTTTATTTATGATATTATTTTGATATCAACATTTATAATAATAATAAACTAAATTATTAATAAATAATATTTAATGAAATAAGAATCTCTTTAAATCAATTAGGATTATCTAAAATTACAATTAGGATTATGTTAATCCTTGCTTGTGAAATTTTTAAACATTATTAATAGTAGATAATAGATACCATAACTTCGGTTTTGTTCCTGCTTATGTACTTGGTTTGGGTTAAATACCTTTTGTATTATAAATAATCTTTTTAAAGAAATATAAAAGAAATTTTATTATTTATAAATTTTCATACATAAATTTCATCAAAAACATTCATTATACATGCTCATATAATTATAGGGTTTATTGTAAAATTATATTAATAAAAATATAAATTAAAAAATTAAAAAAATATCATCAATTTTCTATTAAAAATATGAAACTGGACCAAAACTTTTTAAAATTTAAAATAGAGAGACTATTTTCGTAAATCAAATAAAATTGGAGATTAAAATTATAGTATAGCTTTTTATATTTTAGATAAACTATGTATTTTGACAAAAAAAATTATTAAACTTATTTTAAATATATTTTGATATCACTTTTTGTTGTATTTAATTTTTTTTTTTAATGTAATGTCATTATTTTTAAATTATCCAAATTAAAAAATATATAATTAAAGAAATGTGTAAAACTAATTTATATTTTGAATTTAATTTTCAGTCAAAAAAATGTAATATTATTTAAAAATAATTTACATATAAAATAATTTATAAAACATATTTTTATACCACTAAAAATATCACTACAAGAAAATGTTTACCCAGCCACGTGAAGTTGCCACGTGATTTTCATGTGGCTAAATAAAGCCAGTTGCGGCGTGAAAATCATGTGGCAACGTGTTTTAATAATATAATACAGAAACATTAAGTGTGTCAGTTACTTTGTTGTGTTAAAAAAAGTTGCGACGTGAGATTCACGTCGCTAATTAAAATATCATAAAAATTAAATAAATCACAACTTCCAACACTGGCGTGCTCAGGTTTTGAAGGAAGAGAAAACAGTTGTAAGTTAGTTGCGACGTGAAAATCACGTGGCAACGTTGCAGCGTGATTTTCACGTTGCTACCTTGTTTATCTAATTTATCAAAACGTTTCACAACACACACAGTAACGTTTCTGTTTCATTTTCTTCTTCTTCAACCTTCCATACTCCTCTCCATACCCATTTTCTTCTCCAAAATTTTTTCTTCTCCACACTTAAATTCCTATCATCTTCATACATTGGTTGTAAGGTAATTTCAATTTCACGTTATTTATACTTTGTTAATAGCTTTTGATGTGTTATTTGAGTATAATTTTTTTTCAATTTTTCTTTGAATAGAGAAGGAGAATATAGAAGTATAGATTGCAAAAAGGGACAAGATTGAAGGAGTTACAAGATAAAAGGTATGTCTTGAATTTTTTTTTTTTTAAATTAGTATATTTTCTGAATTTGATTAATTTATAGGTTATATATATTTTCTGAATTTCATGAATATTGGGTTAAAATTGTTGAATTTGGGTTATATATATATATATATATATATATATATATATATATATATATATATATATATATATATATATATATATATATATATATATATATATATATATTCTGTATTTGAGTTAAATGTTAGGTTTAATTATTTAGTTTATAATAATTATTAATTATTAATTTGTGATGAATGAGTTTAATTATTTTAGGAGTTTAAGTTTTTATATTTTTAGGAGTTTATAAATTTTTAGTGTTTAAATTAAATTTTTAGGAGTTTAATAAGTTTTTAAATTTTTAGGAGTTTATAAAATTTAGGTGTTTAAATTAAATTTTAAGTGTTTAAAAATAAATAAATATTTTTAGGAATTTATAAATTTTAAGTGTTTAAATTAAATTTTTAGGAGTTTATAAAATTTAGGTGTTTAAATTAAATTTTAAGTGTTTAAAAATAACTAAATATTTTTAAGAGTTTATAAATATTTTTGAAAGCATATATTTATCTTTAATTGTATATGTTTAGGATTATTATTAAGTTGGTTAATTAATATTTCTAATCAAATAGATTTTGATTATATAAATTTGCAGTAAATGGAATATTATATGTATTATCGTAGTTGGATGTACGATAGACTATATCCAGGAAGACGCGCACTTAAACCCAATTTTATAGACGGAGTTAATGGTTTTATCGCGTGGACGTTTGCCCAGGAACGTTGTCGAAGTGAAGGAGGACTTAAGTGTCCTTGTCTTAAATGTGGATGTAGATATATAATTAGTGACCCAGAGGAAATAACACGTCATTTTCATAGGAAAGGTTTCATTGAAAATTATTGGGTTTGGACGTATCATGGTGAAACACTGCCGAGTAATGTACCAGAGACTAGCAACACAGATGCTTCAAGTAGTCAACCGGTTATGCAACCACCTATGGAATTTGAAGAAAACTTTAATCTAATAGGTGACATGGTTTGTGATGCTTTTGGTGTTAACGTGACCTATGATCAACCTGAAGACTTTGACGGGGAAGAGTTGCTGAATGAGGAAGCGCAGAGATTTTATCAGTTGTTGAATGAGATAAATACGCCATTGTTTGAGGGGTCGTCAGACTCAAAGCTATCAATGTGTGTTAGATTATTGGCCGCCAAGTCAAATTGGAATGTTCCTGATCAGTGTTTGGAGCACATCGCAAAAATGATGTTGGACTCAACTGCAACGAAAGACAACTTGCCTGCGAGTTTCTATGATGCAAAGAAGTTGGTGTCGAAGTTGGGTTTAAGAGTAAGAAAGATTGATTGTTGCATTAATGGTTGTATGTTGTTTTATGACAACGAGTTTGGTACTCAAGATGGATCGTCAGAGGAATGTAAGTTTTGTCATAGTCAAAGATATAAAGTTCGCAATAGAGCCATTAACAGTAACCAAAAACGGGTAGCAGTAAAGTCCATGTTTTATCTTCCGATAATACCAAGGTTAAAAAGAATGTTTTCTTCAGTGCACAGTGCAAGTCAAATGACATGGCATCATACAAACAAAATAAGCCCAGGCAATATGCGACACCCATCTGACGG